CTGCTGTGTGTCTCTGTTTCTTCTTCACACCTTGTCTTGGTGACACAGCTGCAACCCTCAATCTGAAAGTGGTCATCTTTACCCAGTGCCCACTAACTGATGGGATGAAATACATGCAGACTTGAAAATAAGTGAAACTGTGTTCTGTTACCTTCTTACCTCAAGTGGCAAAGCTCTTCACTGCAATGGATAAGCTGAGAAGAGATATCAGTGAATCCATTTCCATAGTTTGAAAAAGCCTCTAATATTCCACTAGCTCATTTTCTGGAAGAAATAGACTTTTTTTGAGAGTGAGATGGGAGACATAAAGCCTATCCACCTACTTCCCAATGACAATGACTAGTGCAGGTCAAAGCTGCAAGCCAGACAACTCAGGTCTCCCTCAGGCGTGGCGGGAAGGCAACCACTTCAGCCATCACTGTTGTTCCTCAGATTGTACATTAGTAGGAAAGTATAATTGGGCGTCAGAGGTAGGATTCAAATCCAGGCACATTCCAATATGGGAGATGCAGGCAGCTTAATGACTCTCATTCTAAATAACTCATTTCCAAAGTGTGGGTATGTATACGTACTTACTGTTATTTTGAATTGCTATGAATTTTACATTTATAATTTTATTTTAAGCATAAATCCGTGAAATGTAATTAAACACACACACAAATATTCCTCAGTATACACTGTTACATAGGCAAATCCACCAGTTAGCATTGACTTTTGACTTTATTCAAATGACTTCTTTGCATCTTAGTTTCTTCTCCTGAAGAATAAAGCTAGCATCGTCTCTGTCATGGAGGAGTAGTGAGGATCCCACTAAGTAATCTGTGTAAGAATCTAACATATTGCCTGGGATGCATCAGTATAAGCACAGACAAAGCTATAGACAACACAGTTGAGACCAGGGTGGTATTTGGGTTCCCAGAAGCTTGCACTTTAGCTGTTCAATGTGCCTGGGGTCCTCATGGATTCACTAATCACCGCTGTGGGGAATTTATTCACCTAATTTCCCCATCCTTCCCAACCAATGAGCGGCAGACACCAGGAACTGAAGGCCCAGTCTCTCTGTTCAGATCTAGTCTGACAGACAACCTAGACTCAGAGCACCCTGTGGCTTCAGCAGGACCTGAACCACACTGGGGTTGTGGGCCAACTTATTCTGCTCCAGCCTGGCTTCCTCACTTCCTCATGGATGAAGCATCTCCAGCAAGCACTCCGAGATGGTTGTTCTAAAGTAATTTTCCAACCAAGTATGGGTATTGGGAACCCGAAAGAAAACTCTACAGAGTTGTAAACAAAACAATTTCTCCTCATGATCCTGGAAATGAAGTTTGGGTTCAAACCTCCAGAAAAAAAAAATGCTAAGATGCCACATTCTGAACTGAAAAGCCCAGGGAAGGCAATTGCTGGGCACTTTCATGCAGGATTCACTGAAAGCGTTTCCAAGAAGGGCCCCTGCCCCTGACCGCAAGAACAGGAAGACAGCAGAAACAGAAGTGCCACTTAGAGAAAGTGGTGATCAAGTGTGAAAGCTCGCACCATGCAGCATGGGGTTCTAGCTGCAGAGATACGCAATATTCCACAAACACCACCATGAAAGAGTGCACCGTTGGAGAGGACCACAACAGGATCTGTGCATGAAGAGTCCCGCCTCCTCCCTCCCTTTTCTGGCTGACAGCATCAGAGGGGAGAGAAAGGGAAGCAACGTAAAGGAGTTTCGCACCTCTTAAGCCACTGAGAGCCACAGAGCCGTCTCCGCTTTACCAGAAGGAAGGATCCTACAGCATGTGAAGCAGAAGTTCAGCACAACAAAGCGGGGAGCTATCACAGAGCTCAGATTCTCCTCATAAAATTTGTGAATGCACACACATCAATATATAGTTGTTCAGCACCTAATGTTTTATGGTACAAGGAATTAGGGATAGAGCAATGAGCAAGATGATATGGTTCCTGATTCTGTGCGCTTGCAAACAAGCATAGTCCTTTGCCATATTTTGCCTGTTTCTGAGTCAGTTTTTTTTTTTAACCTTCTAAAGAAGTTCAGGTATTTTCATTCCATTGATTTGGTTTCATTTTTTGACACAGTAGAGTGAAAACTCGACCAGAACACATTTTGAAAAATAAAGAGAAGTACCGAAATTTCTTTCTTCAAGGACCACATGATCTGCCATTATTGCTTTCCTAGCCACGTTTCCCCAAAAGCTTAACACTTGGTTGTAAAAGTTCTAGCCTAAAATTTGGCATGTCTGATGGCAAAGTCTTCAAACTTGCCAATTTGGTTGACATTTAAAAAAAAAAAAGTAAGGCAATTGGTAAAAAAAAAAGGGGGGGTAAAATATAAATTATGGCATACTTAAGACATTTTATTTCATGGGATCATGAATCTATAAGAAATTAATCCTGCATTTAAAAAAAACCTAGTAGGTTCTTTACAAAAGCCTAAAATCTTTATAGAAATATAATATACAAAAATGAAAATAAGTAATATACACAGATCTTCCAATTCTGTCAGAAAAATTTGGTCACTGTTATTTGCTCACATTTTTTTTTCCATTTTATATCATAGGGTAATATAGACTAAAGCAAAAAAAAAGTAACCTTACTCAAACATATGGATACATATGATTACATTTTAAAAACATAGTGAATACACGAATAAAACTTACATCACATAAAAAGCTTCTGTTAGTTTGGATATCATTATGGGCAAACACAATTATACAAATTGTTTCCTACTCACTGGTTCAGCTGTAGCAGTTAGACATGAGATTCTCATCTATATTTATAGACAGAACCGTGTTGAATGTAGAAGCATGACTTTTAGGATAGATTTGCAGAAGTGGCAATTGGGAGAACTCCCACTGAGGAATCCCATTGAGAATTAGTGTATGCGGGTAAGCCTGCAGAGGGTCCTATAGGGGGCATTGTCCACATCTCTGTAAAACTTTCTGTCCGTTATGAGTTCTGACACATGAAACCACTCCTGTGTACCATCCCAGAGTTCTATATTAGGCCATCACACAAGTGGAGAGATTGGAAAAGCTCTTGTAATTCCCATTTGCAAAGATAAATCAAGTGTCATGATATCTCTAAATAACCCTGATTTTGCAAAGCTTGACAAAAACTGTGACACAAATACCCACGTTCTTAAAAAGCATACAGACATCTGCCTGGAAACATCCTGAAATCAGAGCAAGTGAATAACACTTTAGTGACCGAGATGAACCGCACAGACCCCAGGCAGACCCTAGGTAATTAAGGTAGGACTGTGCTGTCAGTGCTCTCTCCTCAAAGGAGCATTTGGCACAATTCTCTTGACACTTTTTGAGATGACTCAGATTATAAAACCTAACATAGAAGCTACTGCACATCATATTACCAATTCAGGAAACATCTTTCCAAATGATCTCTGAACATACTGTATTTACTTTCACCATTATGGCAACAAGCATGAATTTATTTTTTTGGACAACAATCTTCTGATTCCAGATATCACAATCTTAAACTTCTTTAGCTTTTTTTTCTCAAACGTCATGATCACATACACACTGCAGGTGGAAAATAAGCCATAGCTTGGCGATGCTGGAGGGGAGGCTTTATCAGACTTGCCAAAGCTGAAGACAAAGCTCACTTTAAAGCAGTCTTGGGAATATTCATCTATGTTACATCAGAATTACTCCATCAAAAGATGAAATGTCTGTGCTGCTAGTAGAACGAATGGGAACACAGACCTGTGACATTATTGGAGATGAAAAGTCAAAGCCACTGTGGGTTAACATCACGACGGTTTAAAAGCCAACAGGCACTAATGTTTGAGAATGAATAGAGACAGAAATTTCCTCTATTGATACTTCAAAGAGTTGGCAACATCTGGAATCTGGTTCCATATGAGTATTCCACCAAGGAGTAAGAATAAAAGGATTTTAATAGGGCAAACAAGATTCAGGTTTCTTACAATATGTTCTCCCTGGAGGGAAACAAATAACCCAATGCATCTGACTAACCTTTCTGCACTTCAGCTGCATTAATGAACATTTAGTCATGGATTCCATCATGAGCCAGATGAACTCAGGGCTACAGCTGCTTTTGTGGACAGGAAAAATATGCTTTCACGTTTTATATTCCCAGCACTTAAAAACCTGAAAAAATATGCTTTATTGGCACCCATGTGCCAACATGACTGAAATTAATTACTTATCTTTCACGTAAATCAATTCAAAGTCACCCTAAGCTTGATTAAATCAATATCAGTATCACATTAAACTGGAATGGTCAGAACTAATATTTTTTAAATATGCACACTTATTCCCCTTTCTTAATGGACAGGGAAAGGCTGGAGAATGGATTGAAAATACGGATTGTGGCCTTGGAGGAGCCCTATTGCTGGGGTCCTCAAAGACTTCAGGGAAGGTCAGGAACACTAAAGGCAAATGGGTGCATGGGACAGAGGAAACAAACAGATGTTGCAGAAATTTTAACTGCAGCATCCAATGGTTTGGCAGAGGCAGAATCAATTTTAGGAACCATACATGTGTGTTTGGGAACAAAGCTGAAGTACAAAATCCCAACACAGAACTCATTGAAACAGGTTTTGTTTCTGATTTTATAAGCAAAAGCTCAATTTATTCCAGTTCTGTGAGTAAATAAAATAATAAATGATCTTTGAAAATTACTATGCCTTTAGCTGCCTATGTGTCTATCACAGAATCACTGTAACAGCAAAATTTTGTTCCAATGATCTCTTTCAGGTGTTGTTTTATGACCTCAGGTCAACTCTAGATTCTTGTGAAGAAATGGAAATTGTACAGTCACATGGCCATAAGTATGTGTGCATGCATTCATTTGTACCATTATAAAAAATGAAATGATTTCCTGTGTAAATACTAACTTTGATACTTACATCCTCAAATTAATATTCTCAGTCATGACTTAAGAATAAAACCTATCCAACAAATCCTCACCAACATAGAATAAAATAATGTAATTAAACTAGACAAACACCCTACCTGCCACTATTTCAAAGAGGAATTTCCCTGGGTGGTCTTCATTGCAGGGATGCTCGATGACTTTATTTCCAGGAAGGAAAATAGTACCCTGTAAATACAAATATATAAAATATTAACATCATAGATCATCAGTGAATATTTAAGGAATGGTATACTCTAGTACACAATAACATACATGTTATTCACTTATTGTCTCCAAGATAAAAATCTGAGCTGGTATTTAGTTGGTTTTGTTGATCAGCATATTTAAGCTGCTGCATGGATGCCCACAATATTTTGATTAACTTCCAGCTGCTTCACTTATAACTCAGTTCCCTGATAATGCACCTGGGAAAGCAGTGGAAGATGGCCCAAGCTGGACCCCTGCCACTCACACAGGAGACCAGGATGGAATTCTTGTCTTCTGCCTTCAGCCTGGCTCAACCCTGGCCACTGAGTCTATTTAACATCTAAACTAGCAGATGGGAGGTCTTTCTTTCCTGTCTCTTACTTAGTCCTGTTATAGTTTTTTTTCTCTCTCTCTCTCTCTCATCATTCTTTTCAAATAAATAAAACAAATCTTAATAAAAATCATGTGCTAGGAAATGGGTGTTGACACAGTGATTAAAATGCTGCTTGTGGCACTCACATCACATACTGAAGTGCCTGGGTTTGGGTCCTATCTCTTCTTACAAGCTTAGCTTTTAGGAGGCAACAGGTGATGGCTCAGGTACTTGGATTCCTGTCATCCATCTGGGATACTTGGGTTAAAGTCCTATGTTTAGCCTAGGTCAACCCTGACTGTTACAGATATTTGGAAAGTGGACCAGCAGATGGATACTCTCTTTCTCTCTATTTTTCTCTCTGTGCCTTTCAAAAAAAAATTAAATAAAATGTCGTGTACCAAAGTTAAATATTACTTGAGCATCTAATACGTATAAGACATTTTTCTACTATCGAATTCATTGTAAGAACAAATTTATTAAATGCTTTTTATGATGCAAAAAATTTACTGAGATTTTCACCAATATCTTATTATTGATTTATTTGCTTGGATGATTATATAAGTTTTTATAGCCATGTAAATCAAGAAAGAGACATTTAGCCAAAGTTGTGATAAGCCTTCTCTTGTTCTCTGGTTTAAATGTGTCCCCATAAAACTCTGTGCTGCAAGTTTTATCTCCATTGTAAGAGTGCTGAGATGGCAGGTGTTTAAGTCATGAGGAGGGGCACCTCATGGATAAATTACTGACTGTCTTGAAATGGTTTGAATAGGTGAGTGATATGATTTTCCCTTTCTTTTCTCTCCCACTGAGATAAGGCAGCAAAGAGGTTCTTGTCAGATGTCAGCTCATCAATACTGACTTCCCAATTTGTTTTATTGTAAGCAGCATATTTTTGCTCAAAACATATTACCTCACTACGGATGTTCCACCGTAGCAAAGACATTAGATGTCTTTCTCTTTAGGGGACTACTTCCATGCCAACTGAGATATATTTAAAGATCTGTCCCATTAAAACCTTGTTTGAACTCCACTAAAATGACCTTATCATTTAATTTCATTTTCCATGAGCGTTTGTAAATACAGTTGCTATTTAACTTCCTGTTACCACCATTGCTTAGATTTTAATGTATTTAATGCTAAGGAGGTATATGACTGAAGGAGTGAGCATTGTCAGGGAGGTAAAGCCAGTATTGAAAACCAAGGATGCTAATCACAGAACTCTTGCTCTTATCCACTAGATTATACTGCCCACTTTCTCCCCAGCTTGATGTAATATTTAGTGCAAGTAGAATTTTCCCCCACTATAAAGCTACCTGGTTTAGCACGAAAATCACACTCATCAACTATTTCTCACTTCCTGGGCTTAAAACGATAAAGTATAGCACTCCCTAACTAAAATTAAGGAATTTCAGACTAAGAATATGACTTATCCTTTGTTTTTTTCTTCCAAGAAGTAACTTTTTTACTCATCTTTTCTCCACACTAAGCAGCATTAGAACATAGCTTAGCCTACATCTTCTGAAATTGGAAGTTTTACAGATTCTAATAAAGCTGGGGATGGTAATGTTTCTTCCTTATTTTTAGCTCCATGAGGCTGTCATCACCCATTGGGATTCATGAGCCCTCCTGGCATTTTGCAATTGGTTTTTTATACGTTTTTCAGTGACCCCTTTTGGAGTGAAGCTATCAATTTCTTGCTGAGAACCTGAATGATAAAATATCCAGGGTGAAGGTTGCTGAGTATTTTAAGTAAGGATATATTGTCTCATGATGTTCACTATGTCTAATTGAAGAATTTGGATGATCCTAGAGTAGAAATTCAAGTATAAAAAAGCACTGCCTTTTTTGATAGTGTAGCATCTATGGCATTAGCCCTACGACAATAATTAATCACAATACAGATTTGTCCCTGATAGAGAATATCCCTTTTATAACGATGTCTTAAAAATTCAAAATGGAACAACGTTGTGCCTTGAATCTTTTAGTTTTGACAGCTAAGAGTTGGAAAAGTGATATAATTCGGAATCATACTAGTGATTTACTTTCAGCTGAAATTTCTATGAAAAAGAAGCTTCATCTCAAGTTAATATCAACTCAATGAGCAAAAACCACAGGAGGTTGGAATAAGGCTAGATGATGTTGAAAATAGGCAGATCTTTTTCTCTGAAATTTGGATTGCATAAAATGCATGTAGTTCAGTAGACTTATGCATGATTTGTTAGTTTCAGAAACACGAGGGTGAGGTTTTTTTTTTCTTTTTCTCCAGCATGAACCGCAAATAGGAGCATCACAAGGAATGATACAAAGTTTGTCTTAAAAATATATGTGGATTTTTAATGAGAATACAGAGAGGTTAAAAAAAATAACTAGAATAGGGTGAAACAATTATTACTCAACAATTTTTATTAGTGTTACATAATTTGGCTCATTTTTCCTTATAGCAATTAATTGCATTATCCACTCAGTAAATAATAATTAAATAATGTTTGGCGTGTACAATGTCCTGTCCTAGGGGTAGAAAAATTGACATGAAAGCCTCGGCAGCCTGAGACTGTATCTAAGATTCATTTAGGGAAGGTAGAGTATTAAGAAAATTATTATATGTAAGGCTTTTGGTGGAAAGAAACAGGATACTGATGAAAGTTATAAAACCTTAGCCACAAGAATTTGATCTCACCAGCCATCTACCCACGACAGTGAAGTCTGTGTTTAGCAGATCTGCTCTGCAATCAGGTTGCTGAGGTCCAGATATCTGCTCTAGCACCTGTTAGCCGTGCAACTTCTGACAGAACACATCTCCCTATTCTTCAGGTTCTTCATTCAAAAACAGAATCTACTCCGCACATGGTTCTCATGAAGTCTGGGGAAAAATGTCTAGTATTTAGTATTTATTACCTGCCTAATACTGAAAACATCTTACATCTCAGATGACACAAAGAAATTGTGGGCATGTATTTTGATAATCTTCAAATAATGAAATAATTGTAGTAAATATGATCATTTTTGTGAACCATGACGAAGTAGAAAAACTGAAGTTTGAATTTCTTTCTGGTTGGAAAGTGTAGATGAACCTAAGCAAGTTAATCTCTTAATTTGTAATCATAACAGCAAACAGTAAATAGTAAACATAAAGACTAAACAGAATATTTCATGCCAATAATGGTGATTGCTCACATTTCTTTACTTATATTTTGCTAAACAGTTGCATTTTAATATCATTAACTCATCCCATGAGTCTATGACACAGGTTGTATATATACTTAAGCACAAAAAAGCTCGGAACCAGATATAGTAGATTCCTAAGATATTTGGTTTGACAAAATGGATGAATCCAAGCTGTTTCAAAGACTTTTATACTTATTAAGCCAGCTAATGTTTCTTGTTCTATCAATAGTTGTGACTAACGCAGTTTGAAGTTTTAGACATAGCTATCAAGTTTCTTCTTAGCTTCTGAAATCAGCTACATGGATTCTTGCATTTTCTCCAGCCATGAAGCAAAAGGGAGACTTGCAAATCTGGTACCATTTTGGAACCCACCCAAGTGATTATGATGTGTAAACTCTTTGGGGAATCCTAACTTAAATACTGCTATAAATTGCCTTAAGGAAAAATGTAGCATAATATTAGTAAAAATTTACAACTTTGGAAATGTACTATTTTTTCTCAGCTAATAAAAACCAGAAAAGCAAGTAATACATGCAATATTTCCAAGTCATTATTTAAATTAACAATGACAAACATCACAGCATGAAGCTATTTTGTAATTACCACAAAATAGAAATAAATTCTTTATATGCATATCTGAACTTACCCTTTTATTTTATAAACTGCAGACCTAACACCAGAAAGGCCTTATTTTCCTAGGTTCATTTAAAATTTAAAGTAACATTTGCATAATATCACTACAGATATTCAGATCCTACTATGGCTAACAAGAAAGCTTTTATTGAGATGGAAGAAAAATGTGGGCAGCATTTTGATATAATTCATGTAGAAATCTTTAATCCATTAGTTTCAGGCACAAGGATCCTTTATCCCATGTGAATTCTCCCTTGATTTTTTTTCTTGATGAAGATTTTCTGCATAAATGCTCTTGCATGAGCCCAACCATGCTAGTTACATTGGGCCACATCTATTTGTCAACATTGTTTTGATTCATTGTCATATGGAGGAATTCTTTGATTGTGGTCGTGAGAAAGAGAGGTTATGAGGGTTTATGATTCTAAATCTGAAAGTTTAGAACCAACTTCTCAAAGTTTGTAAAGCTCCAAAAGTTGCTTTGCTCAGTGCTTACCTAACATATGAGTCCCTCCACAACTCCAGAGACATTCAGCACTTGGCTGATGCATTTCATTACTTGTCCTCAGGCACCCAAGTCATTTTTGAAATATTTATAATTGGGAGGAATAAGCATTAAAATGTTGACCCCAAATCTCCTACCATTTCACCGCATGTTCTTTCACTTGGAGTGAAATCCCTTTTCCACCCTGAATTGCTAACAGCTTTTATCTACTCAGGCTGTGTCCATGTTACAGAAGAATGTTGAAGCATCCATGAACTAAGTAGCACCCAGTTGGCAGAGTGGACATTTGTACTTTGATCC